AAAAGAATTGAAAAATTCAAAGGTACATACCCGTTCCATGAAGAGCAGTTTTTGATATGCCTGTAAATATTCTCTCGCAGATGGGAATATATGACGAACACCTTGTCCTTGCAACCACCTAAAAAACGGGTCGCTAAAGTAGAGGAAAAACTAAACGATGGCCAATTAGTGCAGAATAAAGATTACTTTTGTATTCAAGTATACCTTAACACGCCTTCCAAATACTCGGTAAAAGCCGCTTCGAATCGATCATGCACAATTACCAAATCTGGAGTGTAGTTTGTTCCAGTACGACGCGCATTAAACGCTTCTCTGACAGAAGCACTAATTGACATGAGCGTTACCGCACTGAGCAGCTCACATGCACTTCGAAAGACATGATCCTGCAAGATCACACAATGTTTGAAAGACTGAACCATTGAACAAAAGCATCAAACCTGAATTCCATGTTCACTCTTCGCAACTTCTTCCACTATTGTGGACAGATAGCTATTAGCTAAAGTATGGAAAGGAAATTCATTTCTGTGGAAGAATCTAATCATTTCTCTTAGGAGTAATCGGACAGGTTTGCAGTACTCTTCACGAGCCATGATCATTTCAGATACTTCTTCACCGAGAATCTGAAGAAGTTCAACACATTGGAAAGGAACAGAAATCTAGGAGATATGATGACTCTGTCGATTGCAGAAATACCTGTCAACGTTTGGAGGGTAAGAGACAAATCTTCTAAGAACTAATTACAGTGATGAAAAAACAAATCAGCTAAACTCAATAACAGCGAACGAGATGTCAAAGAAAAAACCTGGAAGACGCAAAACACTCACTGTAGAAACTTTCGCGAAGACTATGAGTCAAAGAGTCTCTCAACCCTATCAACCGCTCAAGTCTACGGTCAAGAAGAAAATAAAGCATTTAAGAAGAAATAGGTGCATTGAAAGCTTCTTAAGTAGTAAAACAAAGAAGAGAAGTATAGGAGTTCACCTCAGCTGCTCTGGTCCTATCGAATCCAAACAAACTGATGAGTATCGAAACGTTGTGTGGATGTCTGCAATGAATTGCAAACTGTCCGAAACAGCCAATCTACACTAAGAATAAATTATATAACACAGTAGCGCAACATGTAGAAGCGCATGTTGCTAAAGGTTAAATTCTCCATGGTTTGAGTGGAATTTTGATGGAACCCCTTTGGCATATGATCTTTTATTCCAAGAAATAAAAGTACAGCGGATAATCACACACCTGGACATAACATGGCCGAACTCATTCTCTAATAAAAGCTGAATTGTTGTACGCATGTTGCAGTCATCCTTTC